TCTGAGTTGGCGGGAAAGCACTGCTGGTGCGGGGGCAGCACAGCCCAGAGCGGCGAGATCTGAGTCAGCCGGCGCTCTCACACCAAACAAGGGTGCTCGCTGCTGAGGCAGCTTTTCTCTCTCACTTTTTCTCGCAAGCAGAATCATTCTGCTTTTGAAACAAAGTCCTGGGACTTTGGAAATAAAACTCAGTAAAACTGAGAAGAAAAAACAAGTAAATAATAACAATTTTATTAATTTCAAAAATAAAAATCACATCGTCGTCACGGCAGTGACGACGATCGCGCCGGCCGCACCTCGTGTTGCGGCGAGGCCGCCAACGGAGATGGAGGAGGGGGAGTGCGCCCCAAAGGCGGCCCTCGCGCTGACGGAGTCCTCGGCGGCGACTCCCAGGGCTCGTCCGAGTCGTACATCGACCAGGGTGAGCGCAAGGGCGACGACCAGGTCGAGGACGCCGGCGAGGGAGGCAGCGGAGGAGGCAGCGGCGGCTGCTGAAGATGAGGAGGCGCCGGCTGCTGCTGGAGAGGAGGCGGCGGTGGCGGCTGCTGGAGAGGAGGCGCCGGCGGCTGCAGCCACGGCAGTGGGGGCGGCGGCGCGAATCGCCGCGCAAACTCGGCGGCCATCCTATCGGCCGCAGCCGCCACCGCAGAATCCACCACAGCAAGGATTTCATCCCTTGCCGGGGGATTGTTGTGGTTGTTGTTGCGGCTGTTGCCGCTTCCAGGCAGCGGGCGATTGCCGCCGCCTCGATTGATGTTGTTGTTTCTGCTGCTGTTGTTGAGGCGGCGGCCTCGATGGTTTCGGGGCCGGGCCCCTCCGGCTTGCTGCTGCTGCTGGCCTCGGTGGCCACCTCGAGGGGGCCCTCCTTGGCCTCTTCCGCGGCCACCCGCCTGGCCGGCCCCACGTCCTCCTGGGGGCCCTCCTCGGCGCCCTCCTCGGCGTCCTCCTGGGGGCCCTCCCCTGCCATACAGGCCGTTGGGGAGGCTGCCCTGCTCGAAATTGTAGATCACCATCTAAAAAAACAATCGTTAGGCATAAAAAGACTAGGTTTTGAAATCAGCTTACTTTTTGTGGTGATGGTGGTGGAGAGTGTCGTCGATGACGATGACGGTGACAGTGTCCACTTGCCGCGCGCTTGAAGACTCGATGCTGTACCAATCAACTCAACTGTGCGATTGTGCCTGCCAGGGGGGGGGGATGATGATGATGACTGCTGCTGCTTCTGATGCTTCTTCTTCGGCTGCTGAAGGCAAACTGATTCGCGTCACAGGGACCGTTGAGAAAGCAGCAGAGCTAGCCGTTCGTTTGAGTTGCGTTGGCTGCGCTCGTGCGTGCCCGGTGCACGTGGCGCGTTGCGCGTTTTTTGGCTCTTCTTTGCCGGCTGTCCAGCTGAGCTCTTTCACATGTGAGCAGCAAGCTGAAATCTTCTGTTTACATTTTCATTGATTTTTCACTAGAAACTAATTCTGGTGATCTTTGTTTTCTCTCTCTCTCCCAACTTCATCTTCATCTTCATCTTCGTTTTCGTCTTCGTCTTTGTCTTTGTCTTTGTCTTTGTCTTTGTCTTTGTCTTTGTCACTGTCTCTGTCTCTGTCTCTTTCTCTTTCTCTTTCTTTGTCTCTCTCTCTCTCTCTCTCTCTCTCTCTCTCTCTCCACCATCTTCATCTTCATCTTCATCTTCTTCATTATCTTCATCATCATCCTCATCTTCATCTCTCTCTCTCATTTTTTCTCTTTATTTTTATTTGAATCATGTCAAACTCGCGTGAATGGTCTCCTGCCAGTGTTGGCAGTAGAAGATCTTCGCAACACAGTGATTGGTCTCCTGCCAGTGTTGGCAGTGGAAGATCACCTGTTAGCAGTGACCAGTCTCCTGCTCAAAGTGATTGGTCTCCTGTCCATATGGGCAGTGGAAGATCACCTTTTTACAGTGAAGGGTCTCCTGTCCCTTCGGACAGTCGAAGATCGCCTGTACACAGTGAAAGGTCTCCTGTCCCTTCGGACAGTCGAAGATCACCTGTTCACAGTGAAAGGTCTCCTGTCCTTTCGGACAGTCGAAGATCACCTGTTCACAGTGAAAGGTCTCCTGTCCTATCGGACAGTCGAAGATCGCCTGTTCACAGTGAAAGGTCTCCTGTCCCTTCGGGCAGTCGAAGATCGCCTGTACACAGTGAAAGGTCTCCTGTCCTATCGGACAGTCGAAGATCGCCTGTACACAGTGGAAGGTCTCCTGTCCCTTCGGACAGTCGAAGATCACCTGTTGAAAGAGGTGACCGGTCTCCTGTCACTACTGGCAGTGGAAGATCTCCCTTACAAAGAGCACTTTAAGGACTAGATGTTCCTTTGAATGCCGAGGACCCTCTTGGCGTAGCGCATCGAAGGCTCAATGGTCTTTTGACCTGGGAGTTTCCACTGCCCACAGAGCCTTTGAGGGAAGCGCTTCAAAATCTCATTGCCCTTTTGGGCCAAGAAGATCATCAGCGCTCTTCAACGCATCGAGATTTTGGCGTCCAACAAAACGCCGAAAATCCTATTCAACAAAATGAAGAGCCAACAGCTCGCAGTGCACCTAGAGGAAGCGCTGCCCGACGAGGCCGTCCTCCTGGACGAGGCCTTAGAAGCCGTGTGTCAACGGTCACATCTGATCGTGTGACGCGCTCAAGGACTCAGGCTTCGGTGTTGCCTGCTAATGAGCAGCCTGTCGTAGAGCGTAATGACGCTCTAAATAATGAAAATCAAGGGCCATCGGCCCAAAGTGCACTAAGGTCTAGGCAAAGGGGTCGTCCTAGAGGGCGACGTAGTGCTGCTGCTGTTTCCAACACTGCTCGACTAGAGCAAGAGGCTCCTGTGCTTTCAAGATCTCGAGGCCGACCTCGCAGCAGACCGCGTCGTACTGCAAGCACTGCTCAAAATGTCAGAAACAGTTCCTCAATTGTCAATAGGCATGAACGTGAACGTCGTCAGGAATACGACGCAAATCGTCGGGCAAACATGTCTGCTGAACAAAGTCAGCAAGTTCGTTCTCAAGATGCACAGCAGCATCAGAATGTTTACAATTCATTGTCCGAAAGTGACCGTCAGGCTCGTGTTAACCAAAATTCTCACAATCAAAGAGAATATCTAAACTCTTTGTCTGATGCTCAAAGACAAGCACGCCAAGTTCGCGATGCTCAACAGCATCGAAATGCTTATCAGGTGCCTGAGCGTGGTGCTGCTATTGCAGAGCAAAACCTCAACAGGTACCATCAAGCTCAAGCAACTCGAAGGCCTTCAAAAGCAGCAATCCTCAATGCTGAAGGTCGGCTGCGCTACGGCATCCCTGAGGAAGACTACCTCGGTGGTCTTACTGTGCGCTGCAGCAACTGCGGCGCCATGCACTTTCCAGACGAGAAATCTGGAAGCAGCACTACTTTTTCTGACTGTTGTCAGAACGGCAAAATTAAGGATTGGTTTCAGTTGAGACCAGTTCCAGAACAGTTACAAAAACTGTTCACTGATGCATTTAATCAAAGTGCTAATGCTTTTGACAAAGAGCAAAGTAGGCACTTTTTAAAAAACTTGAGACATTACAACAATGCTCTCCAATGCGCTTCACTTTCGTACAAGTCCGTAAACATTCCTGGACACGGACCTTATGTCTTTAAAATCCAAGGCATAACTTACCACTACACCTTCAACATCAATCAGATTCGTGAAGGTGAATTAGGTCAAAGGAATCAGCTGTACATTTTAGATACAGCTGATCAGACTGCTCATCGCCAAACAAATGCGCGGCAGTACAACCACAACCTAAGGCCATACATTCTCAATGTTCTCAAACATTGTCTCGATGAAGCAAACGAGACTTATGAGAACTTAAGAAGAATGTTTGAAATGGCTAATGTTGAGGAAGTGGCTGTTGCCTTTGCACCTGTTCAGCCAGGTCGACCCAACGCTGACCGCGAGCGCATGCCAGAAGCTCGCGAGATTGTCGGTTTGATCAATCAAGTCGACGATGACACTGAGCGTGGTATTACTATCACTTTCAATAATAATAACGAGAAGGTGTTTTTCAACTACGACAAAGGTGTGTGTGACCCTTTGACGTATCCTCTCTTATTCTCCAACGGAGAACTTGGGTGGGATAGAAAAATGAAAGAAGAGCACAACATCACACCAATGCACTTCTATTCTTACCTTCTCTCTATTCGTGAAGGGTTTAACCCGCTCCTTCACAGTAGAGATTTGCTCCAGCAGTATGCTGTCGATTCATACTCTAAAGTTCTGCAAAACAGGCTTGACTTTATCAAGCTCAACCAAAAAGAACTTTGGGCCGAAGAGTATGCAGTTCAGCAACGGTACGCAATGGAGCAAACTGAACGCGAAAATGCCAATCGAGGCAGAGGTCGCGGTCGTGGTAGAGGCAGAGGCCGTCCTGCCAACCAAAACGTGCAAGGCCGTGGTCGCGGTCGCGGCAGAGGCCATCTCTCTACTGAGAGAACTTTACAGCCTGACATGCTCAACCCAACTGAGCCAGCTCGCCCACAGCAAGGTGGTCAAGCTAGCAATGCTCCCGGTGTCGGTGTGAGAGTTTCGATTCTCCCGGCAACATTTGTTGATAGCGAACGTTATCACAAAGGACAGTACCATGATGCCATGGCCATCATTAGAAAGTTTGGAAAACCTGACTTTTTCATAACTTTCACTTGCCATGCTAACTGCAGAGAGGTTACTGAAAACCTCTATGAAGGTCAAAAACCAAGTGACCGACCAGACTTGATTGTCCGAGTTTTCAACTTAAAAGTTGAAAGACTTCTCAAGGACATTTATAAAAATGGCATTCTTGGCCGTTGCGTCGCTTACACTTCTGTTGTGGAGTTCCAAAAGCGGGGCCTTCCTCACTTGCATCTACTGGTGATGCTGCATGAGTCGAGCAAAGTTCGCAACTTTGATCATTTGAACTCAATTATAACTTGCGAAATCCCTCCTGAAGCATCTGCAGATGAACAGGACGTACTATTTCGCCAAGCCTTGAGCGACTTTATGCTCCATCGCAAATGTGGTCATGAAAATCCTCAGGCAGTTTGCATGCGCACTCGAAAAGCTCCCCGCTATTCTCCGCCAGCTGTTGCAGAGAATGCGGGTCAGCAGCCTCAGCAGCCTGATCCTGCCCAACAAGCAGGACAAAACAATGCTAATGAACAACAAAATGATGATATTGTTGTTCCACCACCTCTAAATGAAAGGCAAGCTGAAGATAGTTTGTCTGAAGAAGACGACATCGATAGCTTTGTCGTTCGCGACCGTCCTAGAAATAGGGCGGGCAACAATCAGCCGACAGTTGATCCACCTGTCGATGAAAACGAAAACCGTGAGCTTTTCGAAGGTGAAAATGAGTTCCATGACGAGGACTCATTTGATCAAAATGTCGACGATATGTTTGATCGACATTTCGACTTTGATCCGGAGGGAAGTATTCACGTGGATACTCCTCCAGTCATACCGGAAAACAATGTGACCGGTCGCTCTGGCTACATTCAGCCAAGAGAGGTTTGTGGTAAAGGTTTTCCTAAACCTTTCCAAGCAGTGTCTTCAATTGGCTCTAACAACTTTCCAGTGTACCGCCGTCGCGACACTGGAAATGTTATAAC